CCATGTGGCGTCTATGCCGACAGAAGTCCTGGATCAATTTTCAAAATTAGACAGAGCACTGCGGGTCCTCGCGTATCTCCATCGATTTTTCCAGCGATGTCGAAGACAATCACCGCTTTCCGGGGTCCGACTAGAGGCCCAGGACGTTGCCGCCGCGAAACAGCTCATGACAATTTGCACTCAGTTCAGGTATTTTTCTGAAGAATACCGCTGCTTGAGTCAGAAGCGTCTAGACAAGAAAGGACTAATTAGGGCATGCGGCCGCGTAACGTCCTCCGACAGTTTGCGGTGTGATGAACGACATCCGATAATCCTACCGTACAAATGTGCACTCTCGCGGCTTCTGGTAAAATTCACTCATCTCATTTCGTTACATGGTGGTAATCAGTTAGTGGTGCGTCTCACCCGGTCCAGATACTAGGTTCCGAGAATAAAGAACTTGGTGAAGGCAGTGGTACACTTCGGCAAGGTCTGCGTTATCCACAAAAAGAGATTGCAAGTCCAGATGATGGGAAGTTTTCCAGAAATGCGAGTGTCTTTTTCCCGTCCTTTCACGTACACATGGATGGACTATTCTGGCCCGTTTGTTATAAAAAATTATACCGGAAGAGCTTGTCTCATTACAAAAGGGTATGTGTTGGTTTTCGTTTGTTTTTCTACAAAGGCCATCCATCTAGAGCCTACATCCGACTTAACGACTGAAAAGTTTCTTGCCGCTTTCGCTCGTTTCGTATCTAGAAGAGGGTGTCCTCGCCAATTCCAGTCCGACAATGGAAAGACCTTCGTTGGCGCTTCCACCGTGCTTTCCCGAGACTTCCTGCAAGTCGTTAAGGAGTCTGTGACCGATGCGTATAGTCATCAGCAGCTCACCTGGAAATTCATTCCTCCTGGGGCAGCCCTTATGGGAGGCCTATGGGAAGCTGGTGTCAAGAGCTGCAAGACCTTGTTTTACAAGTCCACCGCTACACGGAAGTACACCTTTGAAGAGCTGTCCACCCTCCTAGCAAGAATCGAAGCTTGTCTGAATTCCAGACCGCTATCTCCCATGTCCGAGGATCCAACTGATCTCTTAGCGTTGACACTGGCGCACTTTCTTGTTGGTGGACCTCTTCTATCCATAGTGGAACCTGAAATAAAGGGCGAATCCAAGTCCATTCTGAACCGGTGGCAGCACTTAAAGTCTTTCCATCAACAATTCCGCACTCGATGGAAGGATGAGTACCTTATGGAGCTCCACAAGCGCAACAAGTGGCAAGTTCCCACAGAAAATCTGCGCGTCGGCGACATGGTCGTCATTAAGGATGACAATTTGCCCTCAAACGGCCAGTGACCAAGGTGGTTCTTCTTCCAAGAAAGCCGTCCAAAACTACCAAGTAACGATCCGCATTACTTATACACCTTAGCCCGTAGCCATTATCCAAGTCATTGTTAATCAGCCCGGTTTGTTTTTTCCTTATCCACACTCTAACCAGGAAAATGCTCAGGCATTGGATAGCAGACGTTCGAGAGGTACTCAGTCCTACCGATGCCGAGTCGGCCGCGGAATCCATCCTCTTGGGAAGTGTCAGAGGTTCCTTAAGCTGAGCGCAGAGAAGCGGCTGCGGAAAGTTCTTATAAACAAGTACTGCGCGAACTGTCTCGCACACGAGCACTCCACTGGGAGCTGTCGTAGGGGTGACCGGTGCAGAACGTGCGACCGGAACCATCACACGCTGCTCCACATGCACGAACTTGTTTCCCGGAAAAAGTCCGGCTCCAAGCAACAGCCCGCTTCTCCGCAGCGTTCGCGCCGGCAAGATCCGCCAACTCGCCAAACGCTTGCCCCTCCACCGCGCTCAGGATCCTCGACACCAGCTCCGTCGCTCGCGGCACTTCTCCGGCGTCATAGCGTCAACGTCCTTCCGACTGCTTTGGTGATCGTCGAGACCGGGGAGAAGACGTTCGACACCGCCGCACTCATCGATCCGTGCACCCCGACAAGCTTCATCGATGCATCCCTGGCCGCCGCGTTTCGTTTACCGACAACAAACGTGGGCGATGAGAGCATCTGCACGGCGACGATTCGGTCGAAGGTCGACGAGGCCATCAAGCTAGAGGTGGTCCTCAAGATCGAGCCGAACGTGCGCATCCGCTCCCCCATCCATGCGCTTAGTGAGAGCGTCGACGAGGCCATCAAGCTAGAGGTGGTCCTCAAGATCGAGCCGAACGTGCGCATCCGCACCCCCATCCGTGCGCTTAGTGAGAGCGTAGTCAAGATGTTTAAGGAGCTACCGCTCGCGGATGAGCGTTTCCACCGGCCAGCCACCATTTCCTTAATCCTGGGCGCGGACGTCTACCCGAAGGAGATACAGCCGGGCTTCCACATGGTCGTCGAGGGACTGCGAGTAGCCCAGAAGACGGTGTTCGGGTTGATACTCTCGGCGCCTGTACACAGGCTTAAGGCGTAGGTGAGTGGCCGGGGTTCCGTCTCTTTTTGCAACGCTTTCAATTGCAAGGGCGGCGGAATGTTCAGGCCCACTGTCCGGCGATTCTGGACCCCGGCCCCGCTATCCCGCTCTCTCGCGCTCCCGCTCTCCCGCTCTGTTCCCAGCTCCCCTTCGTGAAATCTCCGCTGCGCTTTAGAGCGCGAAACTGAGCTTAGACTTAGGCAGTTCGTTTTGGAATTCATATCGAATAAACCGCGGTCGCTCCCCCGCCTATTTTACAAAGTGAACCTTTTGCGTACTACTTTTCGGTCAAGGGGCACTTCGCCTATCGAGTGGTTTTCTCCCCTACAGCCTATACGCAGATCGTCGCATCCGACGCCCGCCAGCCACACCAACAGCATACGCCGAAGCCCAGCGCAGCAGCCCGCCGACGCCGCCAGTTCCCGCCGTCGCCTCCCACGATATTCTACCAGCGCCACAAGGTACCCCGCTACCCCCGGCGAGTAAGCTGTTGTTAACTATTATGAGCTATTATTAGATGGTTACTAGCTATTTAGTATCTGGTTTCTATATGTTTAGTATATGTATACAAGTTGTTTACTAAATGCTATTAGCTGGATACTAGCTGTTAAGTATCTGGTTTCTATATGTTTAGTATATGTATACAAGTTGTTTACTAAATGCTATTAGCTGGATACTAGCTGTTAAGTATCTGGTTTCTATATGTTTAGTAAATGTATACAAGTTGCTTACTAGATGTTATTAGCTGGTTACTAGCTCTTTATTATATGTTTACGTGATGTTTACTAATTGTTATTAGCTGGTTACTAGTTGCTATTAACTTCTACGAGCTGTTATAGTCTTATGTTAAGAATGATCAACAATTCTTGATCACTAAACGACTTTTGATGTGAAGTAAAAACTTGAACTTTGATTTTCATGTGTTTGCTGTGTACGTGAGAAAGATCGCACCACCAAAATATCTGAAGATTGAAATATAAATCTTAGAGGAACATGTCCGATTAAACTAAAACTAATTAAGATATTAGTTCACAAGCTGACTAAAAGCTGTTTGGAAACTGTTTTGATAAAAAATTTCGATTCATAATTATAGATATTAAGAACATATAATAATATCATCCACTTTAACTGGTATATTGTAAAAATAAAACGTTTCCTTTTTTCATATTCCTTCATCTTAAGTAGGTATAATAAATGTATCCTTAACTTCCATAGCTTGCCTTATATCCCATGACTATAGTTATTAGCTACAATTAAATGTCTAGAAAGAAAAAAATATATGAATGTCAAAGAAATAAAAAACGATTTGAAACTAACTATAATTGGGAAAGTAATTGATATCGCTCCGGCGTAATACAGTATGTATAAACAAAAACACTGTTATTATAAGATTTTCTATTACCATAACAAATGTGTGTACCCACACCTAAATGACCAATTATATCCTTTGTCCAAAATGTCTGTGACTAATAACAATAAGTATGCATCAAGTAAACAGATACTAAACAGCAAGTAACAAGCTAATAACATCTAGTAAACAACTTGTATACATTTACTAAACATATAGAAACCAGATACTAAACAGCTGGTAACCAGCTAATTACATCTAGTAAACAACTTGTATACATCTACTAAACATAGTAACCAGCTTATAGCAACTAGTAAGCACCTAGTAAACATCTACTAAGCAGACAGTAACCATCTAATAATAGCTCATAACAGTTACCAACAGCTAGTAATCAAAGTCCAAGCAGCTCAACCGCCATCATGAATCACGAAAACCAGATGAGTATTGTAATTAAAGAGTTTATTAAACTTATTCAAAATCTTAGACAATGATGCGTAACTCATATAAATAGTATACAAATAGAATAGAACTAGAAAACTAGAACTAGAAAAATAGTTGGCAACAAAAACAGAGTCCCAACACCTCTATCATAAACTTGAATCAGAAATTAAATTAAAAGACACTCCTATGTTAGGTAATGATGCTTTCGAAATACGTTATAATGTTAATATGGGATATAACAAATTAATAAAACAAAATAAAACATTAAATTGTGAGAATTATTTTACATCTATTTATGGGAACTAAGCGAAAATCTGCGTTTGAAACGAAGATTAATAACCGATATATTTCTTACAGAGGGTGGAGTCAGAAAATTAATTATATACAAATATATATAATACATAATTAGTAATGAATTTAATAAAATATGTTTACAGTAATAAAATAAATAAAAATAATATAAATAATAACATGCTATTTCTTGGTCTCCTCCTACTGACTCACTAGTCGCTATACCTCTATCCGCCCATGATTTTGTTGATGGTCTTCTAGAATTATCGTTACAGCAAGTACACCCAGAAAAAAATCCGTTCGAAACGTTCAAAAATCAAGACCAAACGTTGTCAAAAAGTGCGTGAGCCCGTTTGTTGACAGTTCATGAACGGTTGTTCGTAAAATGTGACCGAAACTTTAGCGTTGGGTTCCGAACGAATGGTGTCAGTTTAAGAACATTTCGGGGTTAACTTGAGAACATAAAAATATTAAAAAAAACGAGGTTTGTGTACATGCTAGACTTTCTGGACGCCTGGTAGAGATTTATTTAATTTCCCACCTTATGTTTTGTTATTGCTAGAAATCAATGTGTTTTGTTTATTTTGCTGAAGACAAAGAGTTTATTAATTAATAGAAGTACATATAAACATTAGAAATAATATTTTAATAAAACTTACAATTCACAACCGTCTTCTTGCGGACTCGAACCTGTGATATCATGTGTCGAAGGCGGACGCTCTAGCAGCTGGACCACCGAGCGAATTTTTCGATAGCGGAAAATCGGGACACTAGACCGACATATTGTTGCAATAAACAAACATCAACCATGTGGCGAGAACATTTTTCGAAATTTGGAACCAAGTTGTTCGTCGGTAGAGATTGTTACCAACACCGTTCGATTTTCGTGAACATACGTTCGAAATGTGAGAACTAAAAATGGAGAACGGATTGTTCGCATTTCATGAAAAATGTTCTTGATTTTTTTCGTTCTTTTTTTTCTGGGTGTAAGCTTTATACGGAATTCATTAAATAGACAACTAGATCTTGTGTTTGTTTCAGACCCGTCTGAAGTCACGGTATCTAGAATTGACGCTCTTGTTGTACCTGAAGACCGATATCATCCAACAATGGAATTGACAATCTGCCTCCCATGCGTTGATACCCTCTCTCCTTTAGTTTCTCAAACTAAAGTGAGATGTTTCCGAAAATGTAACTTTAAAAAACTTAACGACATGATTTCTCAATATAATTGGACAGAATTGTACAATTGTATGGATATTGAAAGCGCCACTGAACACTTCTATATAGTGTTAAATACCTTTTTTAATGAATGCGTTCCTGATAGATTTCCTTCAAAGACAAACAGGCCACCTTGGTTTACCAATGCGCTTCAAAGACTTAAAAACCTTAAGACAAACATTTATAAAAAGTATAAGAAATCGGGTAAGCCATCTGATTTTTCGAAATTTGTGGTGGCTCGATCGGATTTTAATGTTCTTAATAGTCATTGCTATTCTATGTATTTAAGTCGATGTAAATTTGAATTTTCAAATGATCCGAAGCAGTTTTATAACTTTGTCAATGCCAAACGTAAGTCGTCAGCATTGCCTTCATCGGTACGTTTTAATTCAATGGAGGCATCGACGGATTCTGAAATTGCAGATTTATTTGCCGAGTTTTTCCAAACTACTTATAGTTCGGCTGCATGGTCAAATTCTAACTACCCTAATCCCTTAAATAAGGCAAATTGTATCTTTACCCCTGAAATTACGGAAATTTCTCTCGTAAGAGACTTAGAAAAAACAACGCCAACTTATTCTCCCGGTCCTGATGGACTCCCCGGGTGTGTGCTTAAGTTTTGTGCGTCAACCATATGTAAACCGATTCTTAAACTTTTTAATTTGTCTATTTCATCGTCAGTTTTTCCTACTATCTGGAAGGACTCTTCTATCATTCCACTTCACAAAAAGGGTGCGAAGGCGGATGCCCAGAATTACAGAGGTATTTCTAAATTGTCGGCAATTCCTAAAGCATTTGAACGTATTATTACTTCTCATTTGCAACATTTATGTTCCTCGCTAATATCACCGTGTCAGCATGGTTTTGTTAAGCGAAGATCGACCACCACCAACCTTCTGGAATTGTCATCTATTGTAATAAATGGATTTAAGAATAAAATGCAGACTGACGTTATATACACAGATTTTAGTAAGGCCTTTGACTCTGTCAACCACTCTCTTCTCTTATTCAAATTAAATCAGCTTGGGTTTCCATGTAATCTATTAACTTGGATTTCAAGTTATTTGAATGGTAGGACTCAGAGGGTTATATTCAAGAACGCTGCCTCAAAACTGATCTATGTGACATCTGGAGTGCCTCAGGGTAGTCATTTGGGCCCTTTGCTGTTTACTTTGTTTATTAACGATCTTCCCTCTATCATAACACACTCTCGTGTACTAATGTATGCTGATGATGTTAAGCTTTGTTTATCACATAATGATATAGCGTCGGGTTTCAACTTACAGTCAGATATTGATTGTTTTCAGGGATGGTGTGAGTATAACCTTTTAAATTTGAACTGCCTTAAATGCAACGTTATGACTTTTCATAGGGGTACTCCTACTTTTGTTAGTTACCCTCTTCAAAATACGCCACTCGATCGTATATATTCAGTTAATGACTTAGGCGTTCTTCTGGACCCAAAACTTAAATTTGACTGGCACATAATGTCCACTGTCAGCAAGGCCATGAGTGTTCTTGGGTTTATAAAGCGTTGGTCAAAAGAATTTGATGACCCTTATACAACCAAATTATTATTTACCTCCCTTGTCCGTCCTATTTTGGAATATTGTTCTTCGGTTTGGAGTCCACAATATCAAGTGCATATTGACCGTATTGAGTCGGTACAAAAAAAATTTCTTCTTTTTGCCCTTCGTAGTTTGAACTGGGATCAAAACATAAGGCTACCTTCCTATCAGAGTAGATTACTATTGCTTAATTTACCTACCCTTGCAAATCGTAGAACAATGCTTGGTACTATTTTTATGCAAAATCTTATAAGAGGTGATATTGATTCTGTAGAACTTGTAAACCGCCTAACTTTCAATGTTCCTGTTAGACTAACACGAAATTATTATCCCCTAAATTTGCCACGATGTACATCTAATTTTTGTCTGCACGAGCCCTTTCGCGTTCTATGTAATAATTATAACAACCTTTATCATTTAATTTGCACTTCAACTTCTATCCCGGTACTAAAAACTAATATTTTAACTCATTTGCTTCATTCTTAGATGCTTCTTTTATTTTCATTTGTGTCCCGTCTCTATTTGTTTATTGTATCTTCCTCGCGAACTCGTATTTTTTGCCCAAATTGATAAAAGGGCCCCGCGCGTAACAAGCACGTGCTTTGTGTCGTTGGGCCACTTGTTTGTACTGCTCGTAGTGCATCAACGTCCATCATATATAATATAAAATTTGTTTCTGACTGTAATTAAAACAAGGAAGAACGCTATAGTCGAGTACCTCGACTATCAGATACCCGTTACTCAGCTAAATGGAGATATGCAAGCAGCAAAGCGAGATTAAAATGCGCCACCTACCGGCGGTATACAGATTTAAGCGTTATGGGCGTTAGAGTGGGCGTGGCAAATTTTTTTTTGGATCAATCGATAGGTATCGACGAGACCAATACATTTCAGTTAAAATTTTTTATCTAGCATGAAAATTGTGGGCGTCACAGGTTTTTGCGGTTTGTGGGCGTTAAAGTAGGCGTGGCTAAATTTTTTTTGGATCAATCGATAGGTAATGACGAGACGAATACATTTCAGTTAAAATTTTTTATCTAGCATAAAAATTTTGGGCGTCACAGGTTTTCGCGGTTTGTGGGCGTTAAAGTGGGCGTGGCAAACTTTTTTTGGGTCAATCGATAGGTATTGATGAGAACATTACATTTCAGTTAAAATTTTCTATCTAGCATCAAAACTGTAGGAGCCACAGTTTTGGGCGGTTTGTGGGCGTTAGAGTGGGCGTGGCAGTCTACTGAAACAAACTTGCGCTGCGTAAGAAGCTCAGGAATCTGCACGCCAAATCTCAATAGCGTAGCTCTCATAGTTTCCGAGATCTCAGCGTTCATCCGGACAGACGGACAGACGGACATGGCTAGATCGACTCGGCTAGTGATCCTGATCAAGAATATATATACTTTATGGGGTCGGAAACGCTTCCTTCTGCCTGTTACATACTTTCCGACGAATCTAGTATACCCTTTTACTCTACGAGTAACGGGTATAAAAAACTACAGGTACAAATGAAGGGAAAGTAATTTATTCAATGAGGTACGTCGGCTTCTTGCGAGTTGTTGCACGGTCTAACTTCATCCCATATCACTGGTCTTGAGATGTATGATCTTATCAGTCGTCCTTCGCCTTGGGTCTTGGGCATGTGACTTTGATGACGGTCAGGTAATGATAGTTCACGGCAAGTTTGTTTCCTTGTGTGCTTTGATAATTCTTAATAAGAGACTATAACAACTCATAACACTTGTTAACAGTTAGTTACCATCTAAAACCAAGTACTTTACAGATACTATACAGATAGTAAACATCCAAAACCAAGTACTGTACAGGACTATACACAAAGTAACCATCAAAATACTGCTAGGTAACAACTAAATACAACGTGTCAAGTCCATGTCGGTATGACAACTACTCTAAAAAATTGTACATCTCTGGATAATCTTCAAAGTCAAATCTATTAAATTATGGATAGAGCAGTGTAGACGAAAATCCTACGAGACCCCACTTCGTCTTTTCTGTACCATTATCAAATTGTTTGGGATTTGCTGAGGATTATAAAAAAGTTTTGTTAAAATGTAAACATGAACTAGTGTTGATGCTAACTAAGAATCTTGGCGATGTGTTTAAACAAATCAGAAATGAACAAAACTTTTAAACTGGAAATGTCGAATATAACCTGGAAAATTCCCCATATAACTCCGAGCGATTTAAAAAAATTCAAATGTACGATATTATTAAAAGTGGTGTAAACCTACCAATCGCATTCCGGAGTTGGTACTGATATGCTAACCTCAAGTTGGGGTATGGGAGTCAACACAGCTGGAATGTGAAATTGTCGGCTAACCGCGAAAAACCAATATTTTCATTAATTGGATTTACACTAAACGGAGAACTCATCACAAATAATTTATCAAACTTGAAAGCTCACATGAGTTCTGAGTCATATCCATATGATAATCTGAATGTTGATTTAAATGAAATGAAATGTATAAAAGATTTTAATCTAGTTACTATAATCGTGAATCACAACCATTTTTGACCCCAAGTGAATTTAAATTGAAGGCCCCTATTATTGTGGTTGATCTTTCATATCCAAACGAATCAGTGAAAACTGGTCCTATTGATGTGAGAATTTCAATAGAACTGAAGACTCCAAGTTATCTCTTATTAAATATGACCCATTTAACGGACTAGCCCAACGAGTTGTTTAACATTAGAAAAATGTTGAAAGATACTGTTTCAATTGATGTTCGAGGTTTCTTTGATAATAATAATAACTTTATTCTAAAGGAAATTGGAATTGTATTCGAAAAAGATTCAAACGTAAATAACAGATTTTTAATAGAACCTCCACATTATTTTACTTTGCTAAACTCAAAATCTCGAAAGACTGCAATTTGGCTAACCAATACA